GATATTCAACTTCAGTAGCTTTTCTGGTAGGAAAGTGAATATAATTAGTACATCGAGGAGGTCAAAATAAAAAAATAGTCCTTTTCAAAATCATTGGGAAAAACCCAAAAAACAAAAAWRAAATATAAGGGAAAATAGGAATTTTTATGGTAAATCAATTTTAGATTTTGGTGTAACTCTTAAACAAATTACCGTGGACACATAACATTTTCACTGAGTGTTTCTATTAGCATTTACTATACACCACAACATTTTCAAAATATTTTAATTTTTTTTAAGCTGTTTATGGATACTTTTAGTTTTCAATTTTTTTAGTTATTTTTTCTATAAATATCAATAACATTTTATTCATTTGATAAAAACATGAACATTTAATGCAAAGCAAAGGATCCTAAAGTATTGCTATAATGGTAGTTCAAAAATATTAAAAATACAGTCACACATTTTTTTTATAAACATTTAAAGTTCAAATCTTGACTAATTATGTATTAATCAATAAAGAGTGTAATTTATTTTGAGTTTGAAATTCATAAAAAATTATCTATTTAAATCTAAGATTTAAACACTTCAATACAAGATTCTTCATAAGTTTGTCTACTTTTATCAAATAAAAATTTCTATCGGAAATTCAAATTAAATTTTTAAGAGCTTTTGAATTTCAAATTTTTATAACATTGGATATTTACTCAATTTTTCTTGCACCGAGTTATTCCAAAACTAATAACTGTAGAAATTTGAAATTTTCACCAATTAACATTTATTTTATTAATTCCTATACTAGATAATATTTTAAAAATATTTCAACTATTTTTAAGTTGTTTCAACATTTTCARTTTTCAWTTTTTTAGTTTTTATTCTATTATTTTATTAGTTGTGTCAAAAAAYTTAAAATTTTATACAGGTTCCCCATCATAAGTTGATATAATAGCTGTTATAAAATATTAAAAATATATATTGGTACATTTTTTTTATAACTATTTAAGTTCAAATGTTGACAACATTTATTAATTTGAAAATTTATAAATTATTTAGTTAAAATATTCTAGCCTGACAAACCATCTCCATTCAGAATTGTGTTTCATATATAATATATTACATCATTGAATTTTCCTTTTTATCGCTTCTTCTTTTAGTTGTATTTTACAATAGTAACTTATAAATTTATACCAGTGTTCAAATACATTAATTATTCATATATCATTGATAATTTTTTTTTTAGAGTAGTCGGGATCTGATAATGAGCTTATACAGAGTTGGTTTAACTAGGGCCTCCTAGTTTAGTTCTATATGGTTATAAAAATTTGTATTTGTAGTTATTTGCTAAACCATAGAAATAATATTTTAATTTTTGAGAATGAAGGTAAGTAATATCCCTCTCTGGTTTCACCATCAATTTTTACAAATATTTGATGATAGTTAAATTACCAACATTGCGAGATATTCATCCTTGATGATAATAATTTCATTAGCCTACAATATTAAACAAATATTAGTTATTTGCTCTTGTTAGATTTGAATTTTTTATACAAATATTAGATTATTATATATTTCCATTTTTTTTTCAGGTTGATGGCAAAATTCTCAAAAAAAATTGTTAGTAAAAGCTTATATGTTTTTATTTTAAAAGAATCTACTCCGCATCTATTAAATATGTAAGTAAATAGTAATATATATAATATTAATGAGTATTATTTTTTCTTTGTT